TTAAAAAAAGATAATGGCAAGGAAGGAGCGAATGCTCTACTTTTTGATGAGGTTAGGAAACAAATACCTATTGAAGTAACTGATGGCGCCTTAAGGAAGAGAACGGAGAGAATCCGAAAAATCTATAGGCTTTTCACTGTTATTGTTAAAGGAGATGAGAAGTTAGCAAAACAAAAAATAGCGTTAATCAGATCATTTTTGGCATATTCCATTTCAAGCTTAAGTAGAGATAATATTGATTTTGTAATTGTCAAATGTTTGAAGACAGCAAAGTGAATTACTGTGCCACATTACTGCGCCCTTGTGACTGCCATGTCGTGGAAAACCAGATATTAATATATTTTGCTATACGTAATAAAACCATGAATATATAACAATAAAATCTCATATAATTATATATTTCAGACTAACATAACCGTACTTTGGCTATATCATATTACAATATATTGTATAATTAGATGCGATAGCATCCTTACTCTGTGAGACTGAAGTTGTTTGCCTAGATTTATATATCTCGGATTTGTTTATAGCTGGAAAATTAAAAAATATGCTTGTAATATACCAGAAATAAATAAAACATCCCGAAATAGAGTATGCAATGATTATTCACACACCTGAAATAGATTATGTAACAATTATTCACATACTCGAAATAGATTTTATGTGTCAAACATAGATCGTAATATATATATAAGTGATTTATACATAAATATGGATCTCTCACATTATTATTATATACAGTATGTTACTTGCAAATATTATGAATATATACAACTCATCTAATAACCCAGGTTCTATAAGATGCTCTTCGAGTATCTGTACTAAAATTGAATGGCATTATTCTAGAGTATATAGTTATTAAATCAAATAGATTCAAATCCTTAAATCCGATATAATAGCATAATCTCATATAAGTAATAAATAAGTCATAAAATGGTTGATTTTAGTTGTTTAGTAGCTCATCAGGGTTCTAAATGTTCAGATAAAGAATGGGGTGAATATTGTAAGATGCCACAAGTTCGTGATAATGAAACTCCTAGTGAGTGGATGAAACGGATTTGGGAAGGTCTTATATATTTTAGAGAGAATGATCTCTTACCTTATAATAGCAAAAAATATCTTGAAGCTAGAAAATTAATACTATTCCTGGATGGCAGTTCATATGCTCCAGAAATTGGAATAGCAATATGTTTCTCTTGTAATTGATTAATATATACTGGATAAAGAACCAAGAATATCAAAAATTATAACCATATAGGAATGGAAAAACATTGGAAATTTTCATGTACCGGTAATAAATACTGTGGTGTAAATTATGAAGAATATATGCAAATTAAGCAAAAATCTAATTCTGAACAGAATTATAATAATATGTATGCATTACATCAATATGAATTATGGTTGCAAAATATTATTAGAAAAGTTAAACATGCCAGAGAAATTGGTAAAAAAATTTGAGCATGTACAATAATACAGCATAAATTCATTGAATATATATATAAATCCTATGGTCTTTGTACTTCAAAATTAGAATTACATTATCAATTATTATAGGCAGTTCAAGAAGAAATGCATCAAATTAATAATGTATAGGTATTAATATCTGTAAAATGAATTATTACCTATATTAAAATAACAATATATAATTTATTTGATTTATATTTATATTATATATTCACTAAGAAAATTTATATCATTTTTTTTCTACACATTAGTTGGTTTGTTTTTGTTATAATTATATCTCCTAACTGATTGCTTTTCCTCTTCAAACTCCATGTACGTCTCAATACCACAAAGTATATAATAGCAATAATCAATAAGGTAAGTAATACATATGCCAATGATGATGTCATTAAACCACTTGCCACAATAGGTATTGCTTCTATTTCTCCTACTGAAATCTGAGGATATGAATTTATATGTACTGTATGTCTAGTATAATATTTTTACTAATTTTGCTATTATTGGTTTCAGATGAATTAGCATTTTCATTTTGTGAATCACTTACCTTGGGTATAGAGATGACTATGTCACTATCATCGATTTTTTCAATATCTTCTATATTTTTTTTGCATATAAGATATGGTCTGAGACTATTGCTAAATTCACTAATTATAGATATATTAGATGCGAAAACATTCTTACTCTGTGAGTCAAATTTGACTTTATTTTTTTCTTCATCTTCACCATCTATTGTGGAACAGGTCAAAGAATCTACAGGTTTTGATATAGCCTCTGATTTCAGGTGATCAAGTTTGCTTCTTACACACTTCAATTCAACTTCTATTTGTTTAAACTCATCCATTTTAGATTTAATAAATAAATTCTCAGATTCTGTTTTTGATAAGTTTTCCTGAATCAAAAATGTGTCTTTTTGGACTGATGCTAACTTACTCTTTAATATCTTAATCATAGCCTGGAGTAATTTTATTTCTTTTAATTGAATATCATACCTGGCTTTATACTCATCATGGGAAATCTGTGATTGGGTAATCTGGGATGTAAGGTTAGTATTGGCCACTTTCAATTGTTTAACCTCTTTAATAAGTTGATAACTATGTTTAAAAAGTTTCTCTTTATCTTTATTGATTTGATTTAGATCAAGTTGTAATTGTGTTTTATCCTGTTTAATATTTTTACTAAACTCTGAATATATCTTCTAGTAATTTTTAAAATCCTCAATAAGTTCAGAATTGGTTATATAACTATCACGTAAAGCTTCTTCAAGTTCCACTTCCCTAGTACTCCCAAGTCGATATCCTTTTGATGAGTTGATATCTTGTAATATATGTACATTAGCCATGTATTTTTGACTTAGCTATAATTAATAATGTTTTTTTTATATTATCAATAATAACATATTACAAATATTATCAATATTACTGGTATTATCAATGATAATGCATTACAAATATTATCAATATTACTAATATTACTGATATTACTGATATTATCAATAATGATTTTTTATTATTATTAATATTACTGATACTATTATTAAGACCATGTGATCTGATGCAGTCGAACTATCACCTGCTGATTACGAATATATTATGCAATACAAAAATGTAAAATCCAAATCTTTAAAGATGTTTAGAGATAAATATCATATGTCCAATACCCGTTTTTATCAAATATGGAAAGGAAAAGAGGTTTGTATAAATACTTGGAATATGTCTTTAGCTAATTCTGAAAGTAATATTTCAATACCTATAGTTGTGAAAGAAGTAAAAAAGAAAAAATCTAAGCTTGAATCTGTTCATATTTTTGATCAATATTTTGTTAGTAAAAATTCAATAAAAAAGATAGATGAAATTTTACTTGAAATCACGCGAGAAACTGAAGATCCTTTAGAACTCATTAAAAGAATGCAAAAAGATGCTAAAAAAAGTAGAGCAATTGCATGTACGAATATTTTTAAACTATCTACTCTTAATTCAAAAGTATAGAATCAATTTCTTCTTTATACTGATTACGCAAATCATTATAATATCCAATAAATTCTGAATTGGTTTGAACATTAGTAAATAGTGCTTTTTCAAGTTCCTTTATATGAATAGTCAAATTTTCACAATTCATGCATTTTTTTTTATTGTGGGACAATGGCTCTTTGAGCCTACCTCTGACATCTGTAATTTTTCTGTATTAAATGTATTGCATAATTCTTTGCAAGTAGAAAGAGGAACTGTAATAGTCTTTTCATTGTATGTAGCTGTGAATTCTCCTTTCACTATCAGATCCCACCCAACACGATGTTGCCATTTTGTATCAAGTATCATTATAGATATGTCTTTTCCATTTTGATTCTTTTTTGTGGTAATTACAGATATTTCTTTTTCAGAAACTGTTATAGAATCTTCTTCAGTGCCTATGGTTATAGGAACATTATATGTAATATCAATAGATTGGGAATCTTCAACTGCACCAGTAAGTTTGTGAACATTTTTCTTATCTATTTTTATTCCTAAATACTCAGGAATATTATCAATATATAATGAATCATTTGCACCAGTATCTATAATTGCGTAAGATATTATCAAGTCACCTATTTTACATGAAATTATTGCCACATCATTAGGTTTTTTTATATTGAGAAAATCAATCTCAAAAGGGTTAGGCCAATTTTGTCTTATTTGTATTCCTTGGTATACTTTAATAGTATAATTTAATGAAATAGAATTGTCAAGTTTTTCTGATTGAGGTATAAACTTATAATCGTGTTTTGTTTCTTTATGATTTGAAGAGTTTGGAGTTTGCTTCTTAATAATTTCAATAAGTAGTTGGAAAATACTTAGATATTTTTTCGCAATAATATCCCATACCTTATTTTGTTCTTTGACTGTATACTTTTTACTATAATATAAATCAAACTGATCCTTCATTTTTATAAACAAATTATTAAAAAATATATGAAGTTTAATAAGAATCTCTCTAGAGCAATTAGATATTAATTCAGATATTATATACTTAAGAGATTCAAGAAATACTTCCTATTTCAAAGTATCAATAGATTTCTTAATAGGTTTTTTCTTTATAGGAATCCGACTTTTTTTTTTACATTAAAACAATTTTGTGGTTTATTATCAAAGATAGTTTCTTTTTCCTCTTCTTCATCTTCATGTTTATCATCTTCCAATATTACTACCTCCTCATCATCTGAATTTTCAGGTTCACTTGGATAAATATTATTAACTTTTTTAGGCTTCTTAACAAGTCTAGAACACTTATTTTTTCTATGTCCGATTTTTTTACAATTTGAGTATTTATAAGTAACTTTTTGCGGTTTCTTTGTAGTATATACTTTTTTAATACTTCCAATATTACTATTTTGTCCAAAACGTTCTTTTTTAATATGATTAGATTGTCTTCCATAATTTTTGTAAAGGTCGTTTTCAATAAATTGATGTATTGCTGTAGGATCTGATAAATCATCTGAATATCCTAATCGTATTGTAATATCGGCAAATTTTTCTAATGCGATATTTTTTTGTGGAAATTGATTTATAGGAATACTATTGTTTTTATTTTCAAAATTACTTGTTGGTTCTCCAGACTCTAATCAAATAATTCTTAATTGTGTAAAAAAGTCATTTACTGTATTTGGATTTGCTATTCTGATTCGTGTTTCTAATCTAGAAGGTAAATGATCATAAAGATATAGCAATACTTCTGCATAGTCAATACCTAATACATAAGATCTAATTCTTTTTTCATAAGTATCAATTATATCTAACACTAGTCCAAATTGGGTTATTTGGCTGCCAAATTACAACCGATTAAATCCAAATTTATTAATAAAAGTTTATACCGAAGTTTTGTTGTTTGGTCCAATTTAT